GAGTAGGACCGAGTAGGAGTAGTAGAAGCAGGAGTAGGAGTAGGACTACGAACAGGAGCAGGAGTAGGGGCAGCAGCAGCAGTAGTCGTCATCGTAGTAGCGACAGCAGCAGCAGCAGCAGTAGCAGTTGCAGTAGTGTCGTTGTCGCTGTATTGTGGTTGCCGTTGTGGTCCAAGCTTGACTCGCCCACGGCTTCATGGGGGATGGTTACGGTTATTGAATGTGAGACATTTTAGCACCAAGTGTCAAGGCACCAAGCTGTTCTATGCCACCGACGCGGAGTCGAGGCTGGCAAGCCTCTTGGGCAGAAGAAGCCGTCAAATCAGTCGAGGAGATTTCGTAAGCAGTAGGCCCGAGTTTCAGAGTATCAGGATTCAGAGAAGTCACAACGGGCACGAAGCCATGACAAGTCAAGGGCTATCCATGAATCACGTTCAGCTCCGAGGTCATTCCAATGATAGTGTTTGAGATGAGTAGCTTCTGGAAGCCAGTTTCTTGGCTGTAGTGCCACTTCCTGCTGCTTGTTAAGGGTTTTGGGTTTAGGGCCATGGGCTCCATAGTTGCCCACGGCGCATTGAGTGGACAAGGACGCTACACGCGCGCGATCATCCAGTTCGCGTCGGGAACGCAGTCGGACTTCGTGCGGTACAATGCCACCGAGGCCCTGATCCCGAAGCACTCTATTCTTAGATCCCAATGCCTAACCTTTAAACTTTTTGGGCTCTTATAGTTTAGTAGGAATCGGAAAGTTTAACCTTGTATTTCTGTGGCTTATTGGAGTAGTACGTATTGCTGATTGGTTTTGGGTCTAAGGCCAGAAGGCTCCATCATAAACAGTCGATGCCGAGAGTCAAGCGCACAAATTGCATGGGGCAATAGGCCCGGAAGCCCCGACCCCTAACCTTGTTCGATATCAATCATCCGGCACTTGGGAACTCTCAAAAGACTCGAAGACTACCTAACACATGTTGACTTAAAACTCACGTTTTGCAAGAATGCAGAGCCGAAGGGTGCCTGGCTTCTTGAGTTCAGACCATGTCGTTCAGTCCTCTAGCTGGACATTTCCGCTCGACCCGGAAATTGCCACAGATCTGGAAGCCTCCAAATGAGGGTTGCTCGCCATACGGCTATGGAGAAGTAGACCTCGAGTAGGACAGCCTAAGCCTAAGCGCAATTACATCATCCCTTCGCCCTCTCGAAGCTCTTAACGGAAGCAAGTCTCCAGCTGCACACAGGATGTAAGCAGTCGATGGAGCATCACTGGTAACTCAACGCTGCAGAGATACCACGATGCTTGGCATCAGCCTTGTTCTCTAAGCTTGGCGTTCCGGTGGGTCATTATTACTTAATATGAGTAATCAAGGTGTCACACAAGGGATTAGTCTCTAATTAAGATTGCAAGTTTGTAAACCGTAAAGACTTAAAAGGAATTCTACTTTGGAACTCCTCGGGTGCAGGCCCACGCTGGAAGTTTTTTAGTTTGCATGAGGCTCCCAGTTCCCGCCAGCCAGCAATGAAACCTAAGCCCTTTTAAATTTTCTCGCTTAGTTTTTAGCATTGAGGTTCATATCCTAGACACTGGATTCACTCGATCCGAACCTGAGGATCTTCATTGCAACTTCTGGGAAGATGTGGGTTATGCTGCGGACGTTTGGAGAGGCGACAATGGCACCTCGTACATTCCGCAGCTCGTCGTTTAAGCTCACCAAAAAAAAGCACCATCGATCAGTCGCCAAAGGCTTGGAGGTCGGCAGCCGCTCTTGTGAGTCGAATATTTATTGTTTATTCTTAACTTGTCCGATGCTGCGGAAGAGGCGATATAATGAGCTTATATTTCAGGCCCGCGAAGACATTTCATCTCGCTCACCTGCAGAAATATAAGCAGAAAACCCAATTGCTGTATGAAGAGAGCAAAACGCATGGTTGATCAATATGGGGGAATTATAGAGCAGACAAAAAATACATTAATGCTTACTACTGATATCTGACATATAAATATGTGCCAATGAAAATACTTGGTTCTAGTACAGATGGAAGTATTAATAATATATTCGTTCTCCAATTGGTATGTTCTCATTAACAAAACTATTTTTTAAGATGTCATATTCGTTTACAATCTTTAGAGTTCTTTCTATGTGATAAGAACTTGGGATATGAAATATTTCTATATTAGAAAAGAAATTGCAATATTAATTTTCTATTGAAAGAAAATATAATCGAAGCTAGGTCGAACTAGCGAAAAATTTGATATCAAGAATAGTTATCTATGAAGGAAACTTTTTAGTTATATTATTGAATATGATAAAGTAGTGAATTCGATCGAATCTTCGATATTTGGATCTATGAGAAAGATAATTTTCTATTTTGAGATATGAGATTCTATTAATGAATTATCAATTTGGAATTGGGAATATGTTTTATAGTCTTCTCG